AAGGGAGGAGAGGGCAGAAGTTGGTCTGCTTACCTGCCGGAAAGTCTCTTTCCACGGTGGGGTCCGGAAGCTCTTATAAAGAGCCTGGTGCCGCGGCAACAAGCCCGCCATGGCAAGTCCACTCCGGCGGCAAAACAAATGTGGGCGGGATTAGCCGTTGGATTTACATGCCAAGCTCCGCCACCCCCATCCGCCAAACTAAAGCATGCCGGGAAATGGAGTCAGGCAAAGTACCTTGGCGCCCGTTGCATGATGGGAAACATTTTGCTCCCTGCCTTGCTATCACAGTCAGAATGTTTCTGGTGCTTGATGGGAATTGTAGTTCGCGTAGACGTGAATATTATTAGTTTGCTAGGAGAAACTACAGCAAAGTAAAGTTTTTTTCAAGCCAGTGTTGGAGGGATACGACACTAGGTATGTGTAGGACACTGGGATACGACACGAACCACGAAGGGTAGCTCTTTGCTGCCTTAATTGTTCTCCAGTTTTAAGTCTCTCTTCCTTTTCTGGGCTTGGGAGAAAAAAAGATTCTGTCGGGCCATTGTGGTATGGTTAAATGCAATGGGGAAAGTTGCAGATTTTGGCCCCAGGCTCTGGTAAATCTCGTTGATTATGTGCCATCAAGTCAGTGTCAACTCTTAGGCTAGTAATGCCACCTATAACATGCCAACTCATGGCATTGTGGGGAAAATAGGAAACAGGAATATGATGTGCACTGCCTTAAGTTGTATAATTGCAGTCGAAGGTGACTTGCTGATCTAACAGTGTGACAAATAGCATTACTTGTCAATACTGCTCCATTATTCTTTCCATTGAAATGGGGATGATGTTCCAGAAAGTGGGTGCTATGGCAGAAAAGGCTCTCCTCCAGGATCCCATCAGATGAAACTATTTGCTCTTTAAAAAAAAACCTGCTTTTATTGTTAATTGTCCAGAGTCATGAATTTGAGATGGGCAGCCATGTAACTTGAAATAATAAATAATAAAATAAATCAATTATTCATCTTGAAATCTTTGATGATCTCATGAAATTTCAAATGAAAACAATAACAATATATTGGTAGGCTTTCACAGCAGGCATCAATGAAGTGGTGATGGGCTTTCAAGCTGAATGGTGGTGGCTTACTGTCCATTGCCTTTTGTTCTGACTTTTGGCTGTAGCTGCAATTTACAGGGAACTTTTGGTCACTATAGGAAAAAATATAACTTCACCCCTAAATCCTTTTCTAATAATTCCACTGCCTGGCTCTCCTGTGAGGCAAAGTTTGTCTTTGTGAGTGCCATGAGAAGCAACAAATCATGCTATCTTTAATGACTGTTTTTACTTCCAGGAATAGGGGAAAGTATTTGTTGGAGTTTCCACTTTAGGGGCTAGAACCATCTAACAATGCACACACTGAGAAGGATCAGCTTGGTCTCAACAAGCAAAAATATGTTGTGATAAAAGACTATTATAACATTCTTCCCATTTCTCACTTGAAACACAGTCTTGATTGCAGCACATCTCAGCCTCATTGAATTGCTCACTCAAAAACCACTCCTTGCCCCATAATTCTTTAGCTGGGTACTTTTCAATGTGAGGGGTCCTTGGTGCTCTCTGAGCTTGCTTGTTTTCTTGCAGACATTTCATTACTCTAACTAGGTAATATCATCAGTGCTAGTAAGGAGTGCTGTTTGTTGTCTGTTTATATTCTGGTGTCTTGCTTCTCTGTGGTTGGGGGCAGTCTTAGGGATTCTTTGGTTGGGCTGTTTACTAATGGCTCTGGCAGTTTCTCGATTGGGGTATTGTTTACTTGATTGTTGGTCTGAAAGTGACCTTGGAGTTAATCTATTCTATGCTGATCTGAGTGCTGATTACTGGTGGAGAAGTGCTGGAGTCTTTTTCTCTTTTGGGCTGGCTGATTGTCTCTTTTGCATAAGCATAGATCAGCATAGATTAACTCCAAAGTCACCTTCAGACCAACAATCAAATAAGCAATACCCCAATCAAGAAACTGCCACAGAGCCATTAGTCAACAGCCCAACCAAAGAATCCCTAAAACTGCACCCACCCAGACAGGCAAGACACCAGAATATAAACAGACAGCAAACAGCACTCCTTACTAGCACTGATGATATTACCTTGTTAGAGTAATGAAATGTCTGCAAGAAAACAAGCAAGCTCAGAGAGCATCAAGGACCCCTCATTTCAACCCTGAGTTACAAATATTCTCCTTCATTGGTACTTTTCAATGTATTTGACAAATTCCATCACAGGTAGCTTATGGGGAAAATTGGGTTATAATTCAAATACATCTGGATTTACTAAGTTGAAAAAGAGATGGCTTGCAGACAGAGATGGTTCAGATACCAAAACAGGACACCTCCCTTTTATTAATATTATCTGCTCACAACAATGTAATCAGGGTCTGGCCTATTAATCTATTAGCAAACTATTAGGTGCTTTTGCAACTGAATAATGAATTAATTTCAACCAAAGCTTCTGTCTTGATTACTCTATTGGTGCTTTCAGTCAAATTCAGTCAATCAGCATCCACTTTGGTATCTGTTAGCAAAGAGATAAAGGTGTGTGTGACCACAAATGCTTCATATGTAAGCAATGTCAATCTAGTTGGCAGGATGTGGCTTTGTAACTGCTGAAGAGTTTTGCAAGTGGGCTCATTACTGGAACAAGCAAAGGTAATTTGCAGCATTAAATTTAGCCGTTTGGACAAAGGTCCAGAGTTAAAACAGTTTATCATTAGTGTGTTAAAAACACACCAGAGGGTGGAGAGCTTAGGTAATTAAATGCACCCCTCCCATGCTTATTAGATTTTAGCCTAAACTGCACAGCTTCAATAAATCAAGAACAAGTGATAAAACATGAGGAAATTTTGATGTGCAGATATGTTAATGATATAAAAAGAGCTTAAATTTCAGCAGACACACTTGATTTGAATAAGTGTACCTCTCTTTAATTCTGCACAGAAAAAAAGTGTGAAAACCCAATTCCTTGCTCAGTGTGATTGTTGATTCATTGTGCCGGGTAAAATGAACCAGTGTTGGGCTTGGCCAACAGTTAAGTGGTAGCTGCTGATTGTTTGGCTGGTGTTGGCCTTCATACACATCAATTTCTTCCCAAGTTGTTTAGATTTTTATCCTGACTTTTATATATTTTGGTCAACTCAAGGCAATGAATACAGGTAATCCTCAACTTAACAACAGTTCCTTTAGTGACCAAAGTTACAGCAGCATTTTTTCACACATCACTGTTGCAGCATCCTCATGGTCATGTCATCAAAATTCAGATGCTTGGCAACTGGTTCATATTTATGACAGTTGCAGTGCCCCAGGATCATGTGATCACTTTTTGCCGCCTTCTGATGAGCAAAGTCAATGGGGAAGACAGGCTCACTTAACACTTAAGTGACTCACTTAAGTTAGTCACTTAAGTTACTAAACTGCAATGATTCACTTATCTGTGGCCAGAATGGAGCAAAACTCACTTAACAAATGTCTTGCTTAGCAACATAAATGTTGGGCTAAATTGTAGTTGTAAGTCAAGGACTATCTGTGTTCCAACCTAGAACTAAGGAGAAACTTCCTGACAGTTAGAACAATTAACCAGTGGAACAACCTGCCTCCAGAAGTGGTGAATGCTCCAACACTGGAAGTTTTTAAGAAGAGACTGGACAACCATTTGTCCGAAATGGTGTAGGGTTTCCTGCCTGAGCAGGGGGTTGGACTGGATGATCTCCAAGGTCCCTTCCATTATTATTATTATTATTATTATTATTATTATTATTATTATTATTATTATTATTATTATGGATCATCGCAGTCAGCCAGATGTTCAGACTGGATTTGGCATTTTTATATTATTATTATTATTATTATTATTATTATTATTATTATTATTATTATTATTGAAGTTTGAAGTTTATTGTATTTATATCCCGCCCTTCTCCTAGTGGACTCAGGGCGGCTTACAGCCAGTTAAAAAACAGAACAATTGGTACAAATATACAAAATTTAAAATAAATTAAAAGATATATTTAAATAGGCCTTTTTCTTATTTTAAAAGTTGATTAAAATCCAATTTAAAATATCCCTAGGCCAGTCCTG